GCTATATAGTAGAAAATGACCTTGAACTCCTGATCCTCCTGCCTCCTTCACAATGCTAGGATAACAGGCACATACCAAAAGGTCTGGTTTATGTGGTGCTGAGGATGGAACCCAAGGCTTTGCACATGTTAGGCAAGTGCTCTACCAACTAAGCCATATCCCTAGACTCATTTCTGCTGCTAAAATATTACCTTGGAAGCTATTTTAAATTTACAGACACTCTGGCTCCACCCCATAAGTTCAAATGAGAAGGTCCTGCTGTGAACAGAAAGGGTTTGGTATCTGAACAGCTGCCTACTGGGGCAAAGCCAGTATTATCTACTTAATGGCAGTTTGTTCCTTTCAAGACAGCTCTACATCATGCTGGTGTGTGTGAGTTACATGTTTGGATAAGGGGGCTAAAAAGACACACTTTAAGGGATTTTTCAGCATTTAACACTTGGGGGTCAGTGAGATGGTTCAGCAGTTCTAGACACTTGCTGCCAAGCCTCATGACCTGGGTTTGATCCCTGAGACCAACATGGTAGAAGGAGATTCTTACAAGTTGTCTTCTGATCCCTACACGTGCTGTGGCACGTACATGTTCCCCCCAGAGAGAGAGCGAGAGAGAAAAATGCAGAGGAAAAGGAAGAAGGGGAGGAAGAGGAGGGGAGAAGGAAGGGAGAAAAAGGGGGAGGAAGAAAAAGGGGAGGAGGAAGAAGAGGAAGGGGAGGAAGTGGAAGAGGAAGAAAAGGAGGAGACCAACAATGCTTTCATTTAGCCTGTGCCTGGCAGAAGTATCCTTGGGGATGAGGGCTGAGTCCCAGGTTCTGTGGAGTCCTCTGGTTCCCTCGTGGAGCCCAACCTCCCTCTTTCCCCAAGGTGAGTCTCACTCAGACAAACAAACTCCAGCTCACACTTACTGAGCGCTTAGGGCCCAGGGACTGAGCCTTTAATCTATTGTTATAAGAACATGGTGGGGCTGTGTCTCCTCCATCTCACAGACATATAACAAAACTAAGCCTAGTCCCCAGTACAGAGTGCTAAGACACAAGAATCAGAAACAAGCCCAGGTCTTCAGGTTGGAAGGTGGGAGACTCCAACCGTTGGCTAGCAGTCTTCTGATCTACCAACCAATGCATACGATCAAAAGGTAGTAGACAGGTGGAGAGACTGTGACTTTAAATCTTGACATTAAATTTATAACCAGACTGGGGGGGGGAAATCTATTGAAATAGTGGGGGGACTGCCAGTGGCAGAAAAAAAAAGGAAATCAACAAAAATATAGACCAAATAGGTAGACATGCGCCTGCTGTTTCTTTGTTCTGACATCAATTCTTTCTGAAAGCAGGACTGGCAAAACAACATAATATCAGTGATTCTGGGGAGGAGTGCTGCCATTCTAAAGGAGATGAAGTAACATTCTATACCTGAGATACGGGGTTCACTGTCTAAACTCCCCTCATGATTCCTCCCTCCAGGGTCTCTGATGTTAAGGTAAACCACATTCCCTTGACTATGGATGCTTCTAGAAAGGTCTCATCTGAACCTTTCCACATACAAGTCTGTCTCCAGCATCTCAGGAAAGGAACTGCTTTCCCAGCCACTTTCACATTAATTAGTAAAGGTATCATTTTATAAATTATAGCTTCGCATCAGAAGAAAGCAGAGTTTATCTTAATTCAGTCAGCTGTGTGAAATACCGTACCCTAATTTTAGACTGCTGGCTCTGGGGATCCCTATGGAGTAAGAGTGACAGGTCTTCCGGAGAGAATTCCCACTGGGTCCCTCCCGCAAGTCTCACTTTGGGCTCGACAGCATCCCCAGTGGAGCTTCCTGAAGGGATCCCAGGACGCTGAGTGGCATCTACTACACCATTAGCAATTCATATTTGTTTGAGAATCTTCCAAGCTGTGGTAGAAAGCACCCTGGTGGGATATGGGGCTGTGGGGAGAGGCCCTGACACACAGCAGGCTGACAGGGCCCAAGCAAAGCTGGAGGGTGGTACTCAGATCAGGTGACAAACACCAGCCTGTCTCAGCCTGAAAAGGAGAGGAAGGATGGCAAAGTGGCTACAGGAGAGTCAGGTAGGCAACAGTGCAATTAGAGGCTCCTGTTGGGAGCCCCTGGAGAAATGCCAGTGTCAGAACAGGAAAAGTCCAGGAGGGAGCCAGGCTGGTTCTGCTCCCAGGCACAAAGGCCTGCAGGACTAGCAGGTACAAAGGCAAAACAACCCCTACATCCAGCACCCCTTGCCTTCCCAATGACTCCATACCTTGGACTTACCAGTAAACATGTCTACTCTCTGAGCAGTCTGGTACTCACATTCACCAACCCTCATTCCATCCAAGCCCCTTACTGCTGCTTCTGTTGACTGGGGAACTCCTGTTCCCTGCAGTGTTCTCAACTCACAGACAAACCCACCCCTCATCTAATCTTAACATTTGCAAGCAGCTTCATTCTGGAAATTACTAGAGTCTGATGACCTTCTGGGCCAGTGATGTTTGATGTTCTCAAAGACTCTGAGGCAAGTGACCTGGGTTGGAGTCCAGGCCTGGGGAAGCTCCTTGGGGAGTCTGGGATGTGGTCAAGACTGGGAACAATGATTAAGATATTTAGGAGAACAGTAAACAGGAATTCTTAACACTTTCTCCCACTGTTGAAGACAGAAATGCCTCGAATTCAAGTATTATCTCTCTCCTCCCTGCCCCACCTCTGAATTCACCTATTATCTCCCCACCACCATGTCTATCTCTATCTGTATGAAATAGAGGCTCCCTCTGTAGCTCAGACTGGCCTGGAACTTGCAACCCTCCTGCCTCAGCCTCCTGAATGCTGGGATGACAGATGCGTACCATCAAGTCTTTTAAATAAAGATGCCTGGGATAGGGGCATAGTTCAGTTGGTAAAGTTCTCTCTGTGCAACTATGAGCTCAATTCCCAGAACCTACATAAAAGACCAAGGCATAATAGCACAGGCTTAAAATCCTAGTGCTGGAAAGGCAGAGACAGGAGGACCCCTGGGGCTCACTGGCCAGCCAGACTAGCCTATTTGGTGAACTCCAGGACAGTGAGTGACCTTGTGACGGCACCTGAGAAACAACACCCAAGGTTGTCCTCTGGTCTCTGCAGGCACATGCAGCACATAAGCATGCACACATATGCGTGTATGCACAGACCAATGACAGCTCTGTGACAAGACCCCCTAATAAAACCCACCTTCTTTTTATTCTTTTTTGAGACAAGGTCTCCCTGCAGTCCCAGCTGGCCTGGAACTCTCTATGTAGACCAGGCTGGCCTCTATCTCACAGATACCTGCCTGTCTCTGCCTCCCGAGTGCTGGGATAAAAAGGCGTGTACCACCATGCCAGGCCAAAACCCACCTTCTTAGACAAGTGAGATCAGCTACTGCCTATAGAACTCCCAGAATATTCAGAGGGTTCCAGTCCCTTTCTGGGTGCCAGAGACATTTCATAGACTTAAATGAGGATTGCTGCCATGTGCCCATGTGATCTCGGGGCTGGTGTGGGTAGCTACTGAACCTCATACACTTTCTGCCCATCCCTGACACTCACATGCTGGCTGTCCATGAGACACCTGAGGTTTGACTTTCCAGGAGCTAAGATTTTCTCCTCGGGGTTGCAGGCAGGAAGCTCTGACTTGTCAGTTAAACAAAAGAACAGCCCTCAGCCCCCTTCCCCTGTATACTTCCGCTGTCATCCAACAGCCCATTACCGTGTCACTGCACGGCGCACCCTTCCGTAGGTCACTTTGTTTAAAATGACACGGATAATGCACATGTCAGCAAGCTGACAGTCCTGCCGTCCTTCAGAGATAAAAACCTCCAGGCGAGAGTCTGTTCTTATCTGGGGGACACGCGCTGGTCTATCATCCGAGTCAGGCGGACTGTGATTTCTCCAGAGAGCACTTTTTTCATTTCCTGATTTTAAGGAAATCAAATAAGCACCATTTGTCTTCATGTGAGTACGCTTGACCTGTTCAGATGATGATGTCTCGAGTTTTATAACTGGCTACATATGCTGAATTCAAATTAATGATAGTGGATAACAGGAGCCTTCAGATCTCTCCTGGAGGTTGCTGAGGCAGTGTAGGGAGAAAGTCAGGGAAGGACCAAGAATTCTCACTAAACACGAACCATGGGACTCTGGGGAGATTCCACCAGGATGGAGGAGTTGAAAATCTCAGAACCCAGCAAAGGATGGAGACAAAAATAGGGGCAGGGAAGACTGATTCATCAGTCTTGGTACCATACAATAGACAAACTAAAGGATTCATATATACTTTCAAGATATGTAAAGCATCGGTAAAAATGGAAAGAAATTTGCTTGGTAGTGTTTACAGCTAGTAATAAAGAGCAAACCCCACAAACCTTTCACATCAGTCAAAAGAAAACCTGCTTGACCTGGTTCTGGTCCACTCTTCTGGAAGCTCAAAGTCTTCTTCTCCATCTGTGTTGAGCAGCATACAAGGAGGCTGAGGCCTCTGCCTCGAGGCAGAGGGTGCACCTGCTAGGGAGACACCCCTATCCCCCAGCACTCACCCACAGAAGAGAACAGAGCCCTCCTCCCAACCTCCTCTGCCTAGTGAGGATATTCCCAGATGCACACCACTGACATTTCTATTACGAAGTTACAGAAAAGCAAGAGGAAACGGGGGGGTCAGTCAAAGGGAGGTAGAAATGACAATATAAAAACACAGGAGGAAGTTGAGTGTTTTCATCCTAGACTGGAAAAATCAATTCCTCTTTAAAAGTGCTCTGGGTTTTGGAGTTATCTTCCAGAGAGTAGAAACCCGGTGCTGCATGCACACCATGTGAAGGGACTTGTTTCAAAGGGGTAGGTGTCATGGATCAGAGACGGTACATCTTATCATAAGTATGAACAATGACAGGTCCTTCAGGATGGAAGAGGAGCTGTTGCCCACCATGGTGCCCACAGGAGCACTACTGTGCACACAGCGCACTGTGTATTGTGTTCACCATGAGGGGGGATGTGTCTTACCTTCTCTTCCTGGTCGCTGTCACTGTCACACTGAAAATGAAGAAAAGAAAATAAAGGTTAGTGTGGCAACTATGCAATTATGCATTTTCTTGAGACACTCTACCTCCCCAAGGGGCAAGAGATACAGGAGAGAGAGATATCTTGCAGCTGGAAAGAACCTCTTTCCCAGGTCCAGTGCTGGGAAATAGATCGAGGGACAAACTGCCACCGCCCTGTGAATTCTGGGGTCAGAGCAAGACACAGCATCACACAGTGAATTTTAAGGGACCAAGAGACACCCAGATAGGGGCTAACTACACTGCAGGATGAAGGGGGCTCCAGATCCTCCCAAGGACTCCAGAGACAAAGCAGTTTTGAGGAGGAACTGTTCTGTCCTGAGCTTTGGGGAAATGGCTGTCTCTCTTCTAGATCTTTTCCAAGAAGAGGCCAAGCTCTTGTCATTGCAATCTCCCACCAGGGCTCTGAAGGACAAAGATTAAAATGGACAAGGCTCAACACCTGTGGTGCTATGATGGTTGACTGTTAACTTGACAGGATGTAGAATCACCTAGGAGACATGTCTGTGAGGGAGTTTCTAGACTGGGCTAACTGAGGAGGGAAGACCCACCCTGAATGTGGGCAGCACCATTCGATGGTTGGGGTTCTGGACTGAATAAAAAGGAGAAAGTGAGCCGAGCACCAGCATTCATCTCTCTGCTTCCTGACTGTGGATGTAATGGGAACAGCTGTCTCATCCTCCTACCACCATGCCTTCCCACCATGATGTACACCTCAAACTGTAAGACAGAACACACCCTTCCTGTTTTAAGTTGTTTTTGTCAGGCATTTCATCACAGAAATGAGAAAAGTCACTAATACAGATGTCTGAGATTAGAAGTAACACACTCTAAAAATGATGTAGTGAGGGTGAGGGATAGGATGATGAACCAAATCCCAACTGCTGCACAGGGTTTGAGAGAACCAGAGAATGAACTAATTCAAGGCTTGGGTTCCTTGACAGAAGCAGAGGAAAACAGAGAGCACAAACTCTTCTAAAAATCAAGGGTTTTTTAAAAAATAAATATTGGGTTAAGCAATAGGGTTTTTGAGGCTGGAGAGATGGCCCAGTGGTTAAGAGCACTGGCTGCTCTTGCAGACGATACAGGTTCAGTTCCTTCCACCCACAAGATGGCTTACAATCACCTGTAAATCCAGCTTTAGGGAATCCAATTCCCTCTTCTGGCCTCTGCAGGCATTGTACAACATGAGTACACTTACAAATGTGCAAGGAATACACTCACACACAAAAAAATTAAAAATAAAATCATGGAGCTGGGGAGATATCTCAGTTGATAAAGTGCTTGCTGAGCAAGCATGAGGACTTGAGTTTGATTCCCACCATCCATGTAAAAAGCTGGACATGGTGGTATACATCTGTAATCCTAGCATTGTGGAGGAAGAGACAGGAGAATCACTAGGCTGACTGGCCTGGCAGCCTAGCCCACCCAGCAAGCTCTGGGTCCCAGTGAGAGACTGTGTCTCACTAAAAAAGATGAATGGCACCAAAGGAAGGACATCAGAGGCTGACTTCTGGTCTCCATACACACATGCATGTGCACACATACACACATAATGGAGGGGGTGTGCTTTGTTGCAGGAATTGCTTGGAATGTGTGTGTTTGCATGCATGCCCTCCCTTGGCAGCCCTGGAGAGGCCTTGCCGAGCTGGACAGGATAAGCTACAGTACAGGACCTCAGGCTGCTCCATGCCTCCTCTAGTGTGGTGTGCAGATGGAATCTTTTTGTATGGGTGAAGAAGAGAGAGTACCCAATGGGGAGGAAGACAGCCATAGGGAAAGCAATTTGGCAATACTGTCTACATCAACGCAGTGCCTGGTTCAGGATACAGTGAAATGGATCCTCAGTGGGGGCCGGTGGGACTTGGTAACACATGGGCAGGGGAAACAAATGAAGGGTAAGTCTAGAAAAATGCCCTGGCTTTTTACTGTGGCCACCTGTGAGTGGGAGCTGGCCAGAAGAAATGGGAAATTTCCCTGCTCTGCTGAACTCCATAACCCCCTTCTCCTGAGCCTGTATCTTCACCTGACATTTTATAATTTGAAAACGGAAATATTCTCTTTTTCATTTTTTTTTTCTTGCATTTCTGGATGGCTACGAGAAATGCTTTGGGCTAATGAGATTTAAAGTCTGAAGAGGATCCTAGTAAAAACAAAAACAACAAAAGAATACTGGGCTGTCAAGATGGCTCAGTGAGTAACGACACTTGCTGTCAAGACTGATGACCTGGGTTTGATTCGATGGTGGAAGGAAAGAACCAAGTCCAGAGAGCAGATTTCTGACCTCCACATGTGCATTGTAGCACACATGTGCCCATGTGTACACACTCACAGATCATACACGCATACGCACAGTAATAATAAATACTTTACAAAATAATCTCAATAAACACAGAAAGGCTAGAACAGCGTTTTGAGTTATGACAATATAAAGATGTGATGTTGGATCTACAGCAGCCATTCTGGGCAAATGTGGCTTTTAAAACAGAAAATCTGGTACAGAAACAAGATAGGAAGGCTAAGGGACATAAAAGCCATTGAACCTCTGTCACAATGAAGTGCCTGCCTGCTTTTGTCTAGAAAACAATAGTTATCTTATTGTTCAAACTGTTAAGAGTGCTATCAATAGACCATAATGAAAGCTCTAACCACATGGATATGTATGGAACTCACCATTCCTTTACACCCTGAGCACTGTATACTGTAAACTTTGAGGAACTTAATTGCATTTTTTTTGCTAGTTTTTGTTTTTATCAAATCAAGGCTTCAAGTATCTCAGGATAGCCTCCAACCACTATTCAATTAAGGATGACTTTGAACTCCTGTTCCTACTGCCTTCACCTCCCAGGTCCTGAGGTGACTCAGCTGTAACATCTACTCCTCTGTGTCCTTGGTGACCCAGGGTTATCTGTAACTGAGTGACTGACATCAGCTTCTCAAGTTCAAGGCTAGCATTTCAAACCAGGCTTCCAACTCAGTCTGGCTATATTGGTGGTCTTTTGCTTAATGACCAGTTTCTCTATCTATCATAGGCCATACACACTGACTTGAGAAGGAATGTGGGTAAGATAAAGACCGAAGTTCAAAAGTTGCAGACAGATTCCATCACTGCCTTCTCTTGAGTGTGACCTCTCCAATTCCTTTCAAATTCTTCTGATTTATTTTAGTTTTAGTTTAAGGGCAAACTAAACGAGGGTCAGAAGAGGGTGTTGGATCCCCTGGAGTTATAAAAGGTCGTGAACTGCCATATGAGTGCCAGGAATCGAACTGGGTCCTCTTTAAGAGCAGCCAGTGCTCTTAACCACTGAGCCATCTCTCCAGCCCCTTCATTCCTTTAACCACATCTTTCTTGGAGTCCCCAAGTCCTGGGTACATTTTTAAGAGTGACAGAGCCTGGTTGAAGAGGGGCATGAGAGACAGGAGTCTTTTCATTTTCTGAATCTTATTTTATAGTGCTGGGGGATTGAACCTGGGGCCTTGTACATGTGAGGCAAGCTCTCTAGCACTGAGCCACTGCCCCAGCCTGGAGTGGAGCCTTCTGCCAGGCACACTTTCTCCCAGATGTTCACAGCTATCTAAATGAGGTAATGATATCTAGGGCTACAGAGCCACGTTTCCCTACATCCCCCAGGGTCTGTGCTAGTGTGGAACTTGGCCTCTCCCACCCCCATCAGAACAGCAGTGCATCCCCAGGAACGGTTATTCTTATCAAAGCGTTAAGCTTCCCTGCTTTCCGAGAGTCCAGTTCTAATTTCAAGGTCCACTTAATTCCGCATCAAGTAATTACTAATATACCCAGAAGCTCCTTGCCTCCAGAGTTAAGCATATGGTGAAGAACTGAGACCTACTGGCATCCATTATGGAAGCTGCATGGATGCCAAGCCGATTACAAATGCTGGGGCTCCCCGTGCGCCACACCGGTGAGTGACAGTCCCCTCGCAAGGCCAGTCACACAGTCTGCCAAAACACTGTCTGCTGCACCAGGGGCCCACATGGTGCGCTGAGAAAACAGTTCCATTTCTGGTATTAAATTCCCATACTGACCCGGGGACTTTGCCGTGAGCTCCGCAGGAGCTCACCATCCAATTTACAGCTCGGCTCTCTGGAGCCTCGAGTGCCAGCCCCTGGCAGAGAGCGATGACGGTCAACCCCTCCAGCTCATAAATTATGCAAAGGCAATAAATGCGCTCAGCAAACAGCGCCTGACGCTTGCCCGGCCTGGCTCCTCACACACTTTGAAAAAAAAAAAAAGAGCCAGAAGCACCGAGAGGTCTATTCCACTCATAAAGGGGGTTTGTTGACAGCCCCAGACGGAAGGCGAGCTGTGGTCCTGAGCCGTCTTTCTGCCCTGCTGGCAGCGGTTTACAGGCTTGCTTTATGAAAAAGGGAGGCTGTTTTATGGAGTCAGGGTGTGGAGAAGTCAAGCTCTCGAATTCACATTTAATACACTGCCTGGCTTTCACACCCTGGGTTCAACCCACTGTGGATTCTTTTCGGGCCAGATGGTTGTTGGTCTTGAAAGGTTAAAGGAAGAAGTGTCTGTTTCCCCTGTCCCTAGACACCCACTCCAATTTATGAGAGTTCACGCTGAACCACCTCCCGTTCAGGTTTATGTTCTAGAGGAGGCTGGGAGATGGAAAAGGCATGTCAGCCATAGAAACCGGGTCCCAGCTGAGTCCCCCATCTTAAGCATTTTGACATCGGGGTCCTGCCTTAGTTTATTAGCAAACAGTTTCTGTGCCAAGTAGGAGCTCGGGGTGACAGAATGTTCTCTGTGACAGGGTTTCAAAGCCCTGTGAGAGAAGCTGAAATAGTTTCCTCCATCTTAACAACAAGAAATGGAAAGGAAGGACAGGGAAGGATTCATGGTCACTCAGTGTCAGGCTGAGACAGAATTTAAACTACCACACACAGGAGGAGGAAATCGGAAGGGCTGCAGTGAACACCACAGGCCTTAAATGCAGAAATGGTCAG